GTGAAGTACAGTTTTAAAAAACTTATCTTTTTAAATCAATAACCAAGTTTCTTGTTTTTAAGTTATTACTTTTTTGTGTCAGTTCCACCAATGAAAATCATTTGGCTTGTACTTTAATTCTTCCACATAAGAATATGAAAATATGTTTGTGGAGGACAATGATGGAGGCTCAGATCACACTGCACCTCTGTAGTCTTCCAACACGGATATACATCATACCAAAGTGTCTTGATCCACAGTGCACCTTTTCCCAAAGGAGTACCAGCGGGCAGCTGATACGCCACCACTATGGAGTATTCTAACTGGAGACTGCAGCTCTCAGCATGTGGCACCAGGGAACATGGAAAAATAGGGTAGTTGAGATTGTTAAGGAGAATTCTAAAACAGTTCAGGAAATCATGCATATGCATTTACAGTCCATGTGAGAGTGACTTTTGGCAACTGCAAAGTGACTGAGACATGGCTTGCTTTAGAAGCATCAAAACAAAGAGGCAAGAGTGCTGGGAGCCTTCTGCTGCTTGCTGTCTTATCGCTTGGTGGCCATCTGGTGGTGTTTGTATTGAATGAACGATGCTGCACTTAATGGACCTTAGAAATTAAATTCCTTTGTCTGGAGGTTGGCTGTTGGGTCAAAGTTGTAAGTACCTCCTTGTGTTGCTTCAGGAATGAGGCTGGGATCTTCATCAATCTATAAAAACAAAGAGAAAACTCCAAATGAATATTTTAACTGCCTAAAACTATCCAGGTAAATTAGCAACAATTTCATGAGATATCAAACAAAGACAACTGAATAATTTTTAAAAGGTGCTTGGCTTAATAAGTTCCCATATCTGCGGATGCACTTCATGTGAGTGTCATTTCCAGAATTATTTCTTTCCAGTTAATAGATTAAAACTGCAACAAGAAATGCTTTTATAATTTTTCATTATAGTGAAGTTGTGGATAAAATGTTTAAGAAAGTGATTAGTGAAGTATCTAACAGAAAACAATACAAATTTCATGCACATTAACAATAAGAGAAAAATTCTAAGCCAATGCCCATTATGTATAAAGGTTTCAGTCTGCATGCAGACATCTGTATTTTAATATTTACTTACATCATCACCAGAGAAATATTGAGCTAATATTTCAAGTGCTAATTTATAAATGTATTCATTTTCATGTTGCTGCAAAACTTCAATTTTCTCCAAACCTGACAAAGAATATAAAAATAATTAAGGTGATGCTAATCTGCATAATCGAATTATAGAAAAGCTCTATGAACCTCAGAATATGTCTTATCTTCACTCAAAGATGACAAATCTAGGGGCTGGAGAAATGGCTCAGCAGTTAAGAGAACCTATTAACCACATGTTGGCACACAATCATCTTTAATGAGACCTGGTGCCCTCTTCTGGAATAAAGGTGTGCATGCACCTTTATTATAAACGAAATAAATTTAAAAAATGGCTGTCTAATATAATGCATAAAAACCTAACCATCATGTCACCCTTCACAATAGACACAAATAGCAGAAAATATCTCAGAGTAGCTATAACCAAACATGTGGAAGACTTGTATGACAAGAACTTTAATCTTTGAAGAAAGAAATTGAAGAAGACACCAGAAAGTGGAATGATCTCCTATGCTATTGGGTAGGTAGAATTAACATAATAAAAATGGCAATCCTATCTAAAGCAATCTACAGATTCAACACAATGACCATCAAAATCCCAGCAAAATTCCTCACAGACCTCAAAAGAAAGAAACTCAACTTCATATGGAAGAACAAAAACCCAGGATAGCCAAAACAATCCCGTACAATAAAGAACTTCTGGAGGCATCACAATTCTTCACTTCAAACTCTACTACAGAGATACAGTACTGAAAACAGCCTGGTATTGGCATAAAAACAGACAGGAGGACCAATGGAACCAAATCGAAGACCTGGATATTAATCCACACACCTTCAAATACCTGAGTTTTGATAAAGAAGCAAAAAATATCAAATGGAAAAAAGAAAGCAAATTTAACAAATGATACTGGCATAACTGGATATCAACATGTAGAAGAATGAAAATAGATCCATATCTACCACCATGCACAAAACTCAAGTCCAATAGATCAAAGACCTCAACGTAAAGTCAGCCACACTGAACCTTATAGAAGAGAAAGTGGGAAGTACACTTGAACACACTGGCACAGGGAACCACTTCCTAAACATAACCCCAGCAGTACAGACACTGAGAGAAACAAATAATAAATGGGACCTCCTGAAACTGAAAAGCTTCTGTAAAACAAAGGACATGGTCAACAAGACAAAATGACGGCCTACAGAATGGGAGAAGACCTTCACCAACCCCACATCAGACATAGGGCTGATCTCCAAAATATACAAAGAACTCAAGAAACTGCTCATCAAAATGGAGTACAGACCCAAACAGAGAACTCTCAACAGAGGAATATAAAATGGCTGGAAGACACTTAAGGAAATGTGCAACATCCTTAATCATCAGAGAATTGCAAATCAAAACAACTCAGAATGGCCAAGATAAAAAATACTGATGTCAACTTATGTTGGAGAGGTTGTAGGGAACACTCCTGGATTGCTAGTGGGAGCACAAACTGGTACAGTCAGCTTGGATATCAGTATGGTGATTTCTCAGAAAAGTAGGAAACAACCTTCCTCATGACCCAGCAATACCACTTTTGCGTATATGTCTAAAAGATGCTCAATTGTGCCACATGGACATGTGCTCAACTATGTTCATAGCAGCATTGTTCATCATAGTCAGAACCTGGAAACAACCTATATGTCCCTCAGTCGAAGAATGGATAAGGAAAATGTGGTACATTTACACAATGGAGTACTACACAGCAGAAAAAAAATAACATCTTGAAATTTGCAGGCAAATGGATGGAGTTGGAAAACATCATTTTGAGTGAGGTAACCCAGACCCAGGAAGACAATTATCATATGTACCCACTCATAAGTGGTGTTTAAACACAAAGCAAAGAAAACTGGCCTACAAATCATAATCTCAGAGAACCTAGACAACAATGAGGAACCTAAGAGAGACATACATAGATCTAATCTACATGGGAAGTAGGAAAAAACAAGATCTCCTGAGTAAATGGGGAGAATGGGGACCTTGGGAGAGGGTTGAAGGGGAGGGAAGAGACAAGGAGGGGAGCAGAGGAAAATGGAGAGCTCAATAAAAATCAATTAAAAAACACCTAACCATCAACCCATTAATTCCTTTCTCCTTAAAAATATTTGATATCCCCTTGGTCTCTGAGTAAAGAGTTAAAAAAAAATCAACAACCAAGACATTCCATTTGAAAGATATATAATGGGGTTTGTTTTTGGTTGTATGGCAAGTTAATGCCAGTATAAGATCGGACAACCTCCCAAAATGTTTCAATAGAAATCCTGATATTGCTTATAGTTATCTTTTGCCTTTTACTGTTTTCTGAATGTAAGTTCTTTGAACTTAATTGGTGGAAACTTTACATCAAAAATACTGTATTTAAAAAGGTGAATAGGAGCAGTGGTGGCGCACATCTTTAATCCCAGCACTGGGAAGGCAGAGGCAGGTGGATCTCTGTGAGTTCTAGGCCAGCCTGGTCTACAGAGTGAGATCCAGGACAGGCTCTAATGCCACACAGAAAAATTCTGTGTAGTCAACTCTGAACTTAAACTTCTTCAAGTGCTGCAGACAGGTGTTTGCACCTGTGCTCAATTGAGAATATCTTTTATATTTCCATTGTACCAATGATTTCACGTATCAAGTTTATAAATTTAAAACCTTATTATTAATTCTGGAGGTTTTTTTAGCATATTGAAATAGTTGGCTTTTAAAACATAATATAAAGATCAGAAAAATGGAGAAATGTGTGTCAACACTAATAAATGAAAATTGTTTTGTAAGATTTTATTACATATGGTGGTTATTACTCCAATAAGAACAAATACAGCTTTAACATTAAAGAAAGAATTCTCTAAGTTATTCAAACTACTGGGTTATGAATTTGACTATGAAGATAACCTTTATCTTAATACAAGCATGAGCATAAATGGTAAGATGACCTCCATGTTTGCTTTGCTTGTGCTGATACTATTTATATGATCTTGGACAAAACTCTCACGTACCTTTCTGTTTCTACTGATCTGTGATGCTATTGTATTTATTTTCTATAAAGCATAAGTTGGGCAAGCTATGTACATATTTAGCAAAATTGCAAACAAAATAATCATTAAACTATAGCAAATATCTGGACACTTTAGTACATACAGAACAGGTACATTTTAAGAACAGAATTTTTAAGTATGTATTTCATTATGTCCTTACCAGAGATAATAATACTAAATGACTTCAGTCCTATTAACTTCAACACGTTTTTGTAACAATCCTAAAAGCCTCTCCAGCTTTTGTAATTCAAACAAGACACACACAATTGGGCAACCACTACCCAAAGAAGGGTCCATTCAGACACATGGCAGTATTATAACATAAAAATAATGTGTTTGCTTTGCCTAGATTTTGAGAATGGATTAAAGAAAGCTTTTACCTACTCGAGTAAAAACCTACACCAGGCTTTTAACATTGTACACTGTGACTTCAAAATGAACACTGTGTTATGGTCCTCAGAACTGAGTTGCTGGGAGGACTATAAGGACCATTAAGTAACAGGACCTACTGAAGGTTTGATGCTGGGGATCTGGCCTTAGAAGAGTTAGTAAAGCTTTTGCAGAACCATCCTTAGCATTACCTTACATTGTACGTTATTACAAAACACTGAGTCTGTCCCTGGGTCTCTCTTGTATTCTCTCTTATGTGTTCTGCCCTGCTGCTCCCAGCCACGAGGACTTTCCTAGAGGCATGCGTATCCATACATTGTACACAAATTGGAACAACCATTCCGTCTTATGCTTTCACTTTGCAAAATTCCCAACTAAAGAAATCTTATTTTTATAAGCACTTATCCTCAGATATTTTTGGTAAGGCAATGAAAATGAACCAGTATAATAATATTTCCTAAAATTCATCAACCTCCAGAAAAATTGACTTCATGACCAGTATTTCTAAGTATGAACTGTTGTATTCTTTTCTGAAAATCCTTCAGCAATGCTAATATGCTGAATAAGACCAGGAAAATACTCTGGTCACTTAATAACAATGAGCCTATAGTAATTTTCTAGTAAGCCGACCTGAGAGGAACTAGTGTTTTAGAACGCCAGTGTTCACCTACTCACCTCCGCATTCTTCTATTATCTCGGCTATTGTGCTTGCTTCATCACCAGCCATTATCAGGATGTTTTTAAGACCATCCAGAACCACCTGAACCACCTGAGAGTCTTTCACTGACAGTAAGTTACAGAATGGTGGTATTACATTTTGTTGTACAAGGTACTCCACCTAGACAATACAAAAGAAGATTTTACGAATTCTCTTTCCCTCTAGAAACTGCAGTAGAGATGAAAACGTTCAGTAACTTCTAAGAATAAGAAGAAAGAAGTGTCCTTGCTGCAGTTAGTAACAGTGACCAGTTACATTTTTTCAAACTCACTTGGTCTTTTCTGTCACTTATTGTTAAGTTGCTAATGGCCCAAGCAGCTTCGTTCTGTGATTCGCAGTCCCCCTGGAAAGCAAAAACAAAGACATGAAATAGACTTTTTATCCAAAAGTCTTGGTTGTAATAAATTAAGGCAAATAATGAATTCATGATATGACTGACCTTAGCAAGCCGGGGAAAAATCATGGGGATTAACTCAGCTTCTAGCAAGGCTTGAACTTGCTGCTGATTGCCTGCTGTTATATTGGAAAGGAACCATTCTACTTCCTGTAGTGAACAAAATATGGGTCAGTTTTATTGGAAAAATTACCCTTAATATTTTTCTTTTTAATGTTTTAAATATTTGATAATAAAATCTCCTGAGTAGGGTTAGAGTGACCGTGTCTAAAATGTAACGGGTTAAGACCTTCATTTTATTTGACTTACTATCATTTTATGTGAGTCTAGTGTTTGTAAACGAGTAGACGGATGCGCCCGTGCATGTCATGGTGCGCATGTGCAAGTCGGTACTTCCCTCCATCATGCGGTTCCAGAGACAAACTCAGTTTGACAGGTTTACATGGCGAGCATTTTTACCTATGATTTAGCCAGTTCAGACCTTCCATTTAATTAAAGAAGCCTCCTTCCCTAATACTTGTGTGTCCATTCAACCCAGTATTTATTTAATAATAGGCATTGTTCTAAGCCGTGGTGATATAGCAGAAAATAAAACAGATATATATCTTTATCTCTGGGATACATTACATTGGCTTCTTGTGAGAAGTGGGTATATTATTTGTGTTTTAATAAACAAAGTTTGCCTGAAGATCGGAGTGCAAAGTAGCCACATAGGCCAGGAAGTGGTGGTGCACACCTTTAATCCCAGAACTAGAGAGTAACTAATACAAGAGGAGAGGAGACAGACATCTCAATATCAGTCTGAGGATGCATGGAGGCAGGATCACCGATCTCCGCCTGAGGTAGAGGAGTCAGTGATTGGCCGCTTTGCTTTTCTGATCTTCAACTTAAACACCAATATCTGTCTCTGGGTTTTGATATTCATTCTACAGGACAGAAGAATGGGGTTTCCAAATACTTGCCAACACTGCTTGCATTAAAGAGCTTTAGTTTATTGGAAAGCATGAGGTGGGGGAGAAGGATCCCTGGGTAAGGGGCCGAGGTCCTGATGCTCAGCACCTGCCTTGAGATGCATGGTGACAAGCGTCTGTACACACAGCTGCAGAGAAAGCAAAACCCTAATATACAGTCAAGGACAGCCATCAGTGAAAGTCTGAAGGTTCCTCAAAAAGCTACCACACAATGGCCATGACTCAGCAACTTCCAGTATGTCAGAAAGGAAATTAAACCAAGGACTGAAACAGTCCCTGAGGGGTCAGTGTTTTCTGCAGCATTAATCACAACAGACACGAGGTATAAACAACCCCAGTGTCAACCAACAGGCAAATGAGGAAAATGTGGCGCATTCATACGAACAGAATGACTTATTCAGCCATAAAAGCGAATCAAGTCAGGGCTCTGGGAGGTGGCTGAGCTGGGGAAGGGCTTGCCATGCAAGCATGAACATTTGATGGATCTCCAGCATCCAGTAGAAGTTGGGCCAGTGGCATCTCTACCTGGAGCACAACCGAGGCAGAGAGAAAGGGTCTGTGGCGCTCATGTCCAGTGAGAGACCCTGACTCAAAATCCAAGGTGGAGGAGCTGGAGAGATGGCTCCATGGTAAAGAACACGGACTGCTCTTCTCCAGAACCAGAGCTCAGCTCCTCGGAACCACACTGGGTGGCTGACAACCGCCTGTGCCTCCAGTCCCGAGAGCTGATGCCAGATGCACACACCCATCCGCCCGAACAGACAAAGACACAGAATTAATAATAAAAGTAATTATAAAAAAATACACGTAGAAAGCAACTAAGGAAGATACCTGATGTTAACTTTGGTTCTACACACAAACACACACATAGAGCTCTAGTACATTCTATTAAATGAACTTTAAAAGCATGATGTGTTAAACAAGCTATGAAATGACTTTAAATATCTAAGTATCTACTACTATACAATTAAAAATATATTTTTAAATAAATTTGAAACTTTTAAAAGTAAATTTCTATCATCTTTGAAAGAAGGCATGACACCTTTAGAATTAGGTCTATTCTAATTTTGTAGGGGAATAACTTAGCTGTTTTTTTTTTTTTAATACCAGTTAGTGAGAGATTGTAGGAGGAGCAGGCTGCTTGCTTGTCCTGGCTACCTGGCTAGCTTACACCCAAAATAACCACATACAAACTGTATTAATTTAAACATTGCCTGGCCAATTAGCTCTAACTTCTTATTGGCTAACTTTTACATCTTGATTTAGCCCATTTCAATTAATCTATGTATCACTACGTGGCTGTGGCTTATTGGCAAGATTCTAACCGGCATCCATCTGAGGCAGAGAATTTATGGCTTCTCCTGATTCTGCTTTCTTCCTCCCAGAATTCAGTTTTGTCTTCCCCGCCTACCTAAGTTCTGTCCTTTCAAAAGGCCAAGGCAGTTTCTTTATTTATTAACCAATGAAAGCAACACATGAACAGAAGAACCTTCTACACCAAGAGTTTATATGTTTTTGCATGCTGGTTACTAATTTAATGATACTGCTCAATCTATAAACACATAAACAGTCTGAAATATTTTACTGTGATGATAGTAGGACGAAAGGAAACAGAAACTAAAGCAATTATAAACGATTCACTTACAGCCATCCTCATCCTGAGTGCCATGATCCCGAGTGAGAAAACACATTGTAACTGCAACAAGGAAACAGCCACAGACAAAAGAAGGGGCAGTGTGTGCCTTTACCTTATTTATTTTCTCTTTCGGGTGTGATAAGAGGTTTGGGAAGTGGGACAGGACATCGCAGTTAAGAACCACCTGGGTCTGCTCGTCAGTGCCGGTCACTATGTTTCCAACTGCTCTGAGTGATGCAGTCTGGAGTGGGGAGAAAATGTTTTAAGTATGTTTATAATGAAATTGTCATCTCTTTAGTTTTCATAACTCTGAGGAGTGTGAGGAGCAAATGATGAACATTTATTTCATCCCTACAGCAAAGCCAGAACCAAACTAAACGAGGACTTTTAAACAACCATCTCCTATGGAAAATTATAGAATCCCACAGAAAAATTATGTGAAAACTTGTTAGAAAAGTTGTTTTAGGCAGTTATGGTGCACACCTTTAATCTAGGCACTTGGGAGGTAGAGGCAGGAGAATCTCTGTGAGTTTGAGGTCAGTAAGTTCTACAGAGTGAGTTCCAAGGATAGCCCGGGCTATACAGAGGAAACCTTGTCTCAAAAAAGCCCACCAAAACAAAAAAATACCCCCCCAAAACCACACAAAATAAAATAATAAATAATAAATAAAGGTTTTAAGAGATGGAAACTAAAAATCATCAAGTCCTTTCTTTAAACACAGGTGTTCTCATTTATGACCAAAGCAGCACCACAGATTTTAATATGGTCCCGAGTGAGCACACATTTGTGTTTCTCATTTAATGCTGTCCTGTATTTAATATACTCAATGCTACCCTGGGCCAGCATGCATTTGTAGGGAGAAAAACACTTTGGCAGAGAAGCAGGACGGGCAGAACTAAATGCCGACCCTAACCAGAGCAGAGTCAGGGGGTTTGCAGGTGGAAGGCTCTGGAAACTATCCCAGAGACGGAGAGCTAAGAGAGGCAGAACGAAAGTTTAGGTAAGAAGGAAAAGGAGCCGTGACAGAAGGGGGTGAAGGAAGAGCCTGAGCATCCACCAGGAGACGAGAACCCAGAAATCCACCCAAGGAGGTGAAGGAGAACGGGGGCATCAGACAAGCACCATGCGATTTGTGGAGACCAGAGGTTTCATTTTTGTCCGGTTGAAATGACAATAGAATGCCAAATAAACAGTTTTTGTATTGTACCACAGCAAAGAAACCTGTCTCGCCACTTTTCTATTGCTCTGAGAACACACCATGACCGAGGCGACGTACAGAAGGAATTTATTTGAGGTTTAAAGTTTCAGGGGATTGGGGTCCATGATGGCTGGGAGCATGGCAGAAGGCATGCAGCCGTGGCACTAAGGTAGGAACTGAGAGCTTATATTTTGAGACACAAGCACTGGACAGGGCTGGGGGAAGGGCAGTGGCATGGGCTTTTGAAACCTCAAAATCTACCCCCAGTGGCACACTTCCTCTAACAAGGCCACACCTCCTAGTCCTTCCCAAACAGTTCATCAGCTGCTGATCACACATCCAATTGTATGAGCCTGTGCGGCCAGTCTCACTCATTCAGACAACCACAGACAGCAAACAGGACAAGCTGGAAATAAAATGTGTATATTGAAAGGTGGAACTTAGACGATATCCCAGAAGCAGAGCGTGACAGCCGGGGCAGGAGGATGGTGGTTTTGAAGTTAGCCAGTGAGCTTGTCTAAAAGTATCACTTCTCCCTGACCCCTATTGCTCCATCCACACAGGACGGAAGTGTGAATGTGTACCCCAAGTGTGACTCCTGCCTTGGGGAAGCTGCCATCCTCTCTGCATGGATTTACATGACTGAGTTGTACATATGTATGCACAGGTACATACATGTAGTCATTTTCATAGTAAAATGAATATACGACTCTGTTTTCATCACTGTCCCAAACACGTGTCCACAATTCAATGGCCAAACAGTTTTGGGATAGTTCTGCTTCATTTTTGCCTAAGCCACTCTACCTGGTAAACCTAAATACAGAGAAGCTGCTGGGCCATAATTCTGGACTCCATCCAAGCAGTGTGATTACCAAAATAGCATGTAGTGAGTGCTATTAAACATGCACATGAGTGACACAGGCACCGTGCACACATGCTCACAAACACATCCATATTAAAAGGTCATAAAATTATTCTTGCTTTTTATAGTGGGGTTGACTTTTAATATGGCAGTTTTTTAAAAAGGTCCTTGAGAAATATACCAAGCCACCAGGACACAGCACTCCGACCCTGGCAAACTGGAAGTCACTTTAGAAGGGAGGAGCCAAAGGCCCAGCTGACCGCCCTACGGTTTTAGGCTATAATGCTGTGGCCTGTCTCGGTTCACTTCAGCTACAGGCTCATTTCAAACACAGGGCTATGTTTACAAAAGTAAATTCTAGTTCTCGCCTTCCCTCAGTGTTCTGTCCTGATTTTTATCCAGTGCACCCAGAAACCTGAGGGTTTACTGTGTAAGCTCATAGTGCTTGACTCAGGGAGTCATCAGCAACAAGAGGCTGAACTGGTGGGAACGACCCACATTTCTGTTTGGCACAGCCACTGAGTAAGAGCAATATGCAAGTCACCTCAGAGCGCTTGGTGTTAAAGGGTCGTGGTGAAAACGGCATCACTCGGCCTTCTTAACCTTAAACACAACGAAGTGTTACTTGGTATCAACGTGGTTTCCATTCTTAGCAAACATAAGGCCCCTGAGTGACTGCACATACATCACACAGGGGCAGGAAAGTTGTAACTGGCCCCACGGGTGGTCACAGAATGCTATGGGCAACTGCTGAGGCTTAGACACAGCACTTCTGCATCAGGCCATAGTGGGCGCCTACTCCTGAGTGCTTCCTTCTCATGTGATTGTGAACACCTGCTGTTTTCTTGTTTTGTTTTGTTTTTCTGCGTCATTGCAGAGGGTGTCTCATTTTCCTGGATCACACGACAGTGGCTGCCCTCAGTTTTCTTTGTGTTTTTGTGGGTGCCTAGTAATTTTTGGGTTAGTATTATGCAAAATGTATTTGAAAACAGGAATCTAGGGTGGTGGTTGAAAGGTTTGACACTTTCACAGTTCTTTCTGTGAATGCAAGGTAGATGCCTACGGTTTTCTTCTGAGTGGTATTATAGTAAGCACCTACTGTTTCCTTGTGTGACACAGGGGATTCCTAATGCTTTCTTCATCATATTATACTCAAGGCCTACTATATTCTGTGAATGTCTACTTCCATATATGATGCTTGGGCACCTCTTGTTCTCCTGTCTGAACTAGGAAGACTTTACTTCACCTTCTTGTGGTTATGGTCCTGCTATCAGTTGTGTGAGCCCATTTCCAATATCAGGGTTGTATAGCACAGGGTGATCAATTGAGATATATTGTCAGTCAAGATATAAAAACTATAACCAGGGCCCCCCTCAGCTTCTGCGGCAGGGTCTTCGGTGTTCCAAGGGACCCC